AGGCAACCCTTCCAGTGCAAATTATTATAAAAGCCACATAGGAAACAAATACATTGTCCTGGGAGGTCCACTTTCCTGCAGGTTAGGGCACAGGAGCCATCTTTAGACTCTATCACCCTGAGGAATACATAGCATCACACAAAGTAATTAAACATTCTTTCAGGCATTCACACCACACTGCATTTCAAGTTCTTTAGTACAGTAAAGCAAAATGGAAAGCAAAACTTTGCTGCACACAAGCAGTATGTTGCAGCTGTTCTTCAGATGCTCATCCTAAGCTTAACCAGCCCAGTTACAGAAATTACACTAAGGAGAGCAATCAGCTAACAGAGTTCGTCATTTGAGTTTGCACTTGCCAATGCCCAGATCCCCTACTGTGAGACAGCTTCTGCAGAAGAGAAAGGTCATGGGTTTTTTTGCAAGTGACTTGAATTGTGTGGTGTCCAGTCAGACACTCGATAGCTGCACAGTTTCTGAAGAAGCCATGAACTAACACTCTAAGGACAAAGTCCCTTTAGGACACACTCTCAGGTGAAGCTTAAGCTTGCAATTAAGTCCTGTGTCTCACATCCTTTACACAAATGGAATTCCCAACATTTGCAGTATTTAAAGCAAGTCTCACACCTGAACTACCTTGAAATGCTCTAGGTTACTGTTAAATTTTTTTTTGTAACAGTATGGATGCTTGAACACTCAGTAGTTTTTCTTTTAAAGAACTACAGTTTCTACCATCATTTGCTACAAGACATTATCTTCCATATACACTAGCATAGATGAAGCTGTTTTATAGCTAGCTGGTATCCATAACAATGCCATTGTTTCTTTAATTTGGGAGTAAGACAAACACACAGAAAGGTGTTGGGGGGAGCTATTCTACTTCCTTTTACCCCTCTGCTTGTATAACACACCCACAGAGCAGATTTGACCACACATAATAGCTTCATCCAGCATTCAATTCCAGAGAGGCCTAGAATAGGGTGTTTAAAGAGACATGACATTCAGAGAGTAGACTTACATGGTCATTTTCAATGTTTTGCAGCAGTCTTGGGTCATCAAATTCACACGATTCACTGGAAGGAGGTAGCTGACTGCAGAGCAAGACAAGCGTTTTCAAACATAAGTGGCAACATTTACTATTTATTACTTCATCTACTTTGTTAGGAAGCAATGAAGAAACAAAGCACTGTCCTTGAAAGTATTGTGAAGAGATCATGAGTAATGCACAAAAGACTGAAAATGAGCAACAATTTCATCAGAACACCAATAAGAAACCCAAAATGTTTATGCCTGAAAGTCTATTTGACAAGATTCAAGTATCAACACCTCGTAGGACAGATGTAGCAGAAGCAGCTTTTAAGTGTATTTGAAATAAATTGGTTTCAAGGTGACTTGCTTTTAAAGTAAATCAAAGATCAATATCCCTGAACTCCTGCTCTAGTCAGCAAGTTCTGCTTCAAGTTGATCCCTGGAGGAATTTAAGCCTGAGTACTCCAAATTAGTACCTGGAAGAAACTCTTCCACAGAACTGACTAGAAAAGAAGAGGACAAAGAGAGAAAAGACAGCAATGAAGAAAATAGCATTACATTGGGAGAAAAAGAGAGGCATCCATAGAAATTACATCTCAGCAGAAGTAACAACATATCATCATAGCACCTTCCTAAAAGGTGATCATAAAAATCAGCTGGACCAGTGAAGCCTAACTTAAAAAAACTCAGAAAAGTGGCTTTCTAACAGCATTCAGCATCTACCTGTTCCTTGGGTGAAAACTCACTTGTTAACTGCATTTGCCATTCAAAGCCCCATCAGCCCTCCCTGGTTCTTCCCCACTTCCTGCTAATCTGAACACGCCACAGTGACACTGTAACGCTTCTAGGTTTTCAGTCCTTTCTGTAGAATGGGACAGACCCATCACCTCTACATTAAACCTCTGAATAGAGAAAAAAAAAAATGTTCTCTTTCATAAGACAACTCCATATCAGGCTCTTTCCTAGTTCAGTTATTAAAAAATAACATATGAATAAAGAAATTACTTTTCCTTTCCTTATCTTTTGAGGTCCCTTCCAATCCCTAACATTCTGTGATTCTGTGATTCAAGCTCAAACTTAGTCATTACAGAGAGTAACGCTCATTCTCTACTTAGAGGTAAGGTTACTGTAAAGAACGTTACTGTCAGGTTGCAACTTGGTTGTCTGCAACTATAAATAAGCACTGCATTAACAGGCATCCAAGCCACCCCAGTCACTGCCTATGCCTCGCTCCCCTTCACCCACCACCTCTTTGCACAGAAGAGAATATCCATCACCACCCACCAGCTCTGCACTAGGCTCCTGCTGGATGAGCATTTTACCCAACCACTGGGCTTCTTCCAGTCCCAAGTTGGAAAGTAGTCTCTATGTAGATTGTCCCCACAGTGCTATTCAGAACACAAACATCTTAGACTGTATTTACCTGAAGTCTTCTGATGAACGTTCTCTTTCCAACTCAGGAAAGTGACTGAGGGATAGAAAAAAGTAAAACACATTTATTCCACTTTCCAAACCAAAAATAGGTAGAAAGCGAAGACCAATGACTCATCACACATACAAACATATGCTGGAACCATGAGTTCAGCTGCTCACACATTTGAGTCAAGTTTCCTGCCTTTTGAAATATCTAATTTAGGTACGATGAAATTCAAAGGTTAACTTGCACAGAGATTTTAAGTCTATACACTTCAAACTAAGCCAAGACAAAAATTTGGTATTCAAGACTCAAAAAGGCCAAGTGCTATGAAATACTGGCATGAGTCAGAGATCCTTTTGACAGAAACAGAACAGAAACAGTAAATGGGTATCCCTTCCATGCAAGAAGTATGAAACTCAGCAACTTCAACTACAGCTACATGGTTATAATGAAATCCTGGTTCATCTGAAGAAATCATAAACATGACTGAAAAATTGCTACACGTGGGCTGCATCTTCTTCCTTTGGAAAATGCCAGAGATTATTTAGCAGTTCTGGCTTAGTTTAAATCATGATCAGATAAATTAGGAAGCAAATTTTCTTCACTTCATGTAAAGTACTCCCCAGATTCACATTTCATAATTTGTGTTGCAGGACATGAAAATGAAAGCTATTAACTGTGACCACAAAACATACTAAAACACAAACTGAAGACTATTCTAGTTCTGGTCTGATATAAACGTAAGTACCATTAGTAAGCATGCATTAAGCGACAGAGTTTCTGAAAGTCATACTTACCCATATGTCACTCCAGCAATACTGCACTTCTTAAAGTTCATGATATTGCACGTTAGAGTACCCGTTTTATCAGAAAACAGGTATTTCACCTGAAAGAAAAAAAGTAGCCTAATTTTCAGCTTGCAAAGTAACAAAACTCAAAGTCCAAAACAGGTTAAGTATCAGGAAAATTCTGGGAGACACAACTCCAATGACACAGTACTGGCCAATGCAAGCTTATTACAGCTTGGTTTGCCTTACCAAAGCTACAGGAATAAAATCAAGAAAGTTACTTAATAGCATTATTTCTCCTGCAGAAAGGCTCAAACAGTACATATCAATTGCCAAGGCTCCAGAGCAGTCAGTACAGATGTATCTGCTTGTGCCAGCTGAACATTCACCAATTCTTTCAACTGTACTAACTTCAAAGAGCAAGACTTGAAATCAAAACCAAGATTCTTAAGACTGTTGAGGAATCATTCGAATTTAACACACTGAAGAAATCCTGTGTTTCAAAGATCACCAGGAATTTGTCCGGAGATTATTTTTTACCCCCATAAACAGTACTGGGAAAGGAATACCCTAATAAGTCAAAGTGGCAACCCGCAAGCAAACGTAAGCTGCTTTTTCTGGTATCCGGTCATGAGCAGTTCCGAAGTGCAAGACACAGCCACAGTCAGCACTGCCCAAGCTAGTAATCCCTTAATGGGAATCTGTGACTTCCAGCTGGAACTTGGAGATAATCCCAGCACAGCAACACAACTTTTTGGAACATCAGGAGACTCAAGATTCCTGCCTTCAGTTGGCCACAACAGAGCAAAATCAATTGCAAGGTCAATTCCACATTGGTTCAGATCTGTACTGGGTAAGATTTTAAACAAGCAACAGGAAGGGATGGTGCTAACATAGGAGATAGCCAGTTTAAAGACCTGAATATTTTGCCTAGAGTTGCAAAAAGCCTTTCCTCAATATCTGCAATTCAGTTCAAGACAGTGTGCTACGCTACCAGTTAAGTCATCCTTTGGCTGTGTGCTACACTGCTTCTGAGTATAGTAAATGAACAAGTAATTAAATTAATGAATCCAAAAATTCAGTCTAGTTACATGGAATCACTAGTAACCCATTTCTGAAAACAACAAATGGGCCTAGAGCATACGCTGTACCACATAATATAGACTACTTTGGAAAAAAACAATACCACAAATTGGAGGTTGATAACTTCACAAAGTAACCTAAATATAAATCAATTCTAAACAACGCTAAGCAAAAGGCCAGCCTGATTAAGTGGGAAGAATATTGACTACCACCCTGCTGAGCAGCACACAATTATGTATTTTAAATACATAAACATTGTCTCCAACATTAAATTCACACAAATGAAGTTCATGTGGTTCAGTTACATACCTATGACGAAAAAAGCTACAGTTTCTCAATGCTACTACAAGACTCCAATTGCAAAGTCCTGTTTTCCAGTAATCTCATTTCAGGAAGCCCTTTCATTTTGAAAAAATCTCATTTGTAGAATTTATAACAAATGTCTTATCACAACTACAAGTTAATACACAGTTATTTTTATCTGAAAGGAGAATGGAAATGCCTGAAGGAACACAATCTAAGTTAGGATTACAACTGCGTTTTTTTGACTTGCATTTCCTGTGAGGTAATCATGAAAGAAACATGAAGAACTAAAACACAGGCTGAGGCTGTTGGCTTGTTCTTCAGCTCAACTTAGTCCTGTATAATCTGTTCCAGCATAGACAATCACAGCCACAGAGTACCTCTCTGACACCCCTAAGAGAAAAAGTCAGTTTAGAGTGAACATAAATGAAGATTCAATTCCCAGGCTTAAAACTGTCTGTATGACCTCCAATTTAATCCTGGGATACCTCATTATTTTACTTAAGACTTGGACTGATGAAAGTAAAGACATCCCATTAACCTGAGCCGCAGGGCAACAGAACAAAGCAGATCTGTACAGCATGCATACCTTCTGTCTTCTCAGAACACATCACGAACACAACACTTAAGAAAATGTTGTCTTACCTGCCCGAGTTCCTCATTAAGGTTTGAGGTTCTGGCCATTGCAGGTGTATCTGTTTCAGGATAATACATATCTATGTCCTGAAATGAGACCAAATTAGATCTATGTCATGCACATTAAACACTAAAGTCTCTAGTCATCTTTTAGTCAGCTCCAACTTGGCTTGACTGATTTAACTCCACTGGTGGAGATTCTGAAGGCCTGAAAATCAGACAGCATCCCAGGTTGAATAGGGGTGTCTCCTTTCCGAAGTGCACCTCCACACGACTTGTACATGAAAAAAGCCAGATTCAATTATAGGTAATTATCATTTTCTTCATTCTACTGTACTAAATTCTTAAGCTACAGATGCAAAGAAGTTCTAACAGGCATTAGCCTAACCATAGGTCTGCAGTTACAGCAGTGCAATTTATGCCAGCCACATCCATGACTAAGAGACAAAGTGACACTGAAATCAGCTCCTCCTATTACTACACTTAATTGGGAGAGTAAACAAAACAGTGCTACAGGAACGAAAGCAATTTCTCAGACAAGCTAGTTAAGTATCTCCAATACATTATAAGCAGTTCAGAGAAAATACAGGTGTTAGACCTCATTTACATGTATTTTAGATGAACCACTACAACTTCACTGAAAGTCCAAGGATTAATGTATATCAAAACAAGGTATTTCTCCTGCTTTTGTTCAGCTTAAATGACATCACTACAGTCCATAACTGAAAAGAAACACACTTTGAAGTCAAAGCTTGCCTGAACAGAGGGATCACTGTTTTGCTGCATGAGGCAACACCAACTCATCTCCTTATAGAAATACTATGATTCATACCAGAGGTGACTTAAGGCCAACCTCACAATTTAAAAAAATAAAGTAAAATAAAAAACCCCAAAAGCATACAAACAAAAAAACCCCAAATCCCCTCCCCCCTCAACACCACATACAACCACAGCAAAACAAAAAAATAGCCAACAAAAAAACCCCACACCCCCAAACAAATCTAATCATTCCCGCTGCTGTGGCTGAGAGAAGCTGTATGGTACTGAACAGTTTTCAAAAAGTAATTACTGAACATGAGTCAGCTGAGAGATGTCCTTCAACTAAAAAAAGCTGAGCCTTCCTTCTCACCCTGAAAGCCTAAAATACACAAGAGTTATTTGCACATGGGATCTTCCTACAACTGAATCTTTTGATTTCCTCTAGAACGCAGAACTAATACAGTTCTCCCTGCCTTTCCCAGAAGTTGCATCAGAAAACTCATCAGATGAAGTCTCAGGGGGGTGGTTTTTTTTTTTTTTTAACGTCACTTCCCAAAACTGACATTAATACATTTATTCTTGTTACTTACCCAATTTATAAAAAGAGCCTGAGTAAACTTGACAACTTCCAATGTCACCAGAAGACTGATTGGAATAAGGTTGTTGTACAAGATTATAAACGTCAGCAGATTGTATCCAAAGTTGACAGACAGCATTTCTGCGAACAAAAAGACGTAAGACATCAGCAGACAGACGGCAGAAGTCCGAGTGGTACAGTATAGGGGCAACCATATTTCTGCAGTTGGCCTAATCGGATTTAGTAGTGCTAAAATAATCAGCAAGTATACTGATGCCTAGTATAAGGGCCTTTTTAATAATGATTTCAATAGTACATATATAAAACACCCACAGAACACATGCCTGGATACACAGCGTATTATGCCAGGTGAAGAAGGGCGAGATTGGTGCAGCTATATATTAAACAGAACCATTTCTAAACGATTTTTGCTAAACAGATGGCAAGAAGTAGGATATTCCACATTATAACTGAAATTTAAAGATTTATCTGATGTGTTAACTATCCCAATTAACTAGTAACATAATTTTACCTTTCAGAAAGTACCTACTTCTCTCAAGGAGTCCAAAAACAAAGACTTGGATTTGTTCTAAAAATGAGCCAGCACTTGCAAAAATTGAGAAGATATTTAAGTTGCTTGTTAATCAGACACCTAGGAAATTAATTAAGCCATCCTGCTTAAGCAGAAGAGCTCTTACTAATGGTGACAACACTGGGCAAGCTACCCAAATAAACCTAACTGCCCAACTGATCCTAAAGGGAAGGGGAAGCATACACAGGCAGTAGGCAAGAATGGACAAGACTCAGCAGAGACATGGGATGAAGGCTCCTGCTCATGGTGTTGCCTCTCTTCACATCAGAAGTCTCCACATTTGTCTGTTCTTCACTTTCCTTGAAGCTTAGGGAAGCATTTCAGTCAGCATGCAGAGCACCCAGCACAGTGGGGTCACAGCCCACAACTAAGGGGTTTTCAGCATTACAATTAAGTTAGAAAGGAGGCACGTGAACAAACTAGGAAATGACAGAATCCAAAGAAAGTTGCTGAAGCCTAATGAAGAACAGAGCAAGACTTGAAGTTTGGACCCGGGCACCGCCAAGTGTAAGCATGCATGAATTGCATCTTTGACCAGTTTACAGAAAGAGTAAAAGCACACGATATTGGAAAAGGTTCCTCCAATACAATCTTTATAGAAATTAGACAGAAATTTAACACCTACTGGCCTGGCCTG